AATAAAAAATAAATAAATAAAGTTTTGGGTGCTTGCTTTGGCAGCGCACATACTAAAATTGGAACAATACAGAGATTAGCATGGCCCCTGCACAAGGATGACACACAAATTTGTGAAGCATTCTATATTTTAAAAAAATAACAAAATAAAAAATAAAGTTTGGGGCGCACGCAGGCCGCTGCCCTCCACTGGCCGACGCTGGAAGCGTTAAAAAAAAAAGTTTTAAGATGGGTTGGATGGTGGTGTCTCCCACAGACAGCTGATGACAAGAACTGCTTATAAGGTGTCTTAAGATGCAAATCATCTCAGGTGGCAACTAGGGACAGATTTGGAAGCATCTTTGCTAAGTTTTGAGAAACTTGACCAAAGAATGTTTACCTGGTGTTACTGAATTTGCAGCTTCTTTCAAAAGTCCTTTTCACCCAAATGGATGGCTGAAATTGAATGTGATGACATTGACGTGTTGAAAGAACTGGGGTGCCTCACCACAGCTAATTTAATGAAGAAGGTACAAGGCCTACAGAACCTGGCCTATCAGCTGGGGCTGGATGAGTTTTATGTGTATAAGTGTTATGTCTACATGTATGTAAGTGCACCTGTGTTGTACAGTGCCCACGGAGGACAGAAGAGGGTGTCAGATCCCCTGGAACTGGAGTTACAGACAGTTGCTATCCTCCATGTGGGTGCTGGGATTTGAACCTGGGTCTTCCAGAAGAGCACCAGTGTTTTTTACCGCTGAGCCAGGGATCCAGCCCTGAGCCATACTTTCATATAAAAAAAAGGTCTGTCAGGCGTGGTGGTGCACACCTTTTATCTCAGCACTAAGGAGGGAGAGGCAGGTGGATCTCTGTGAGATGGAAGCCAGTTTAATCTACATACTGAGTTCCCGGAGTCCCAACTGGGGCTACAGAGAAATCCTGTCTCAAAAACAACAGCAACAACGAAAGGGTGGTGCGCACCTACACCCATAACACTCAAGACTTCGAGAGGAAAGTCGTGTGTTTGAGGCCAGCATAGGCTATGTAACAAGATCCTATTTCAAGAAAATCAAAGAAGTTCTAAGGACAAAATAATTTCTTTGTATGCTGTGTGTCTTCTCATTGAAATTTAATATAATAACTAAGGAATTACAGAAAATTCTCACTTTGTAATTGACAGAAGAGAGACTTGTAACACACAGACAGCGGTTAAACTCTCACTCTCAAGGAGTGCTTCCTGAGGCTTCCATAAACTCATCTGACATACAATTTTCTCTATAAATTCAAGTTTTATATTACTTGAAGTGCTTTAGAACTTGTTATTCTTACTTCTTTAGACCATGTAGAGCAGATAGTGATTTGTTGACATTGATGTAAGTTACCACCAAGTTCAACATTTAACTTACCAGTTTCTAAGCTTCTCCTTTCCATTGTTGACACTGGAAGTTGGTTCCTCCCCCGACCCCCAGGCTGAGGATTAAAGCGCTTGGGCTTCAGCAAGCACTCTGCACTGAGGTACAGCTCAATTGGGTTTCTTTATTTTATTTTATTTTATTTTATTTTATTTTTATTTTTTTAATTAAAAACCATTTTCTAAGCTTCTCCTTTCCATTGTTGACACTGGAAGTTGGTTCCTCCCCCGACCCCCAGGCTGAGGATTAAAGCGCTTGGGCTTCAGCAAGCACTCTGCACTGAGGTACAGCTCAATTGGGTTTCTTTATTTTATTTTATTTTATTTTATTTTATTTTATGTGCACCGTTGTTATGGAAAACACACAGCGGACAGAAGAGGGCATAGGATCCCCTGGAAATGGAGCTACAGATGGTGGTTAGCC